TGTGTCCTTTGCCTTACAAAAGCTTTTTAGTTTCAGAAGGTCCCATTTGTTAATTGTTGATCTCAGTGCCTGTGCCACTGGTGTTATGTTTAGGAAGTGGTCTCCTGTACCAACTCGTTGAAGAGTATCTCCCACTTTCTCTTCTAAAAGTTTCAGTGTGGCTGGATGTATGTTGAGATCTTTGATCCATTTGGACTTAAGTTTTGTACAAGGCGATAAACATGGATCTATCTGCAGTCTTCTGCATACCATTACCCAGTTATGCCAGCACCATTTGTTGAAGATGCTTTCTTTTTTCCACTGTACAGTTTTAGCTTCTTTGTCAAAAATCAGGTGTTCATAGGTGTGTGGGTTAAAATTAGGGCTTTCGATTCGGTTCCATTGGTCTACCTGCCTATTTTTGTGCCAATACCAAGCTGTTTTCAGGACTATAGCTCTATAATAGAGCTTGAAATCAGGTATGGTGATGCCTCCTGAAGTTCCTTTATTGTATAGGGATGTTTTGGCTATCCTGGGCCTTTTGTTTTTCCATATAAAGTTGATTAATGATCTTTCCAGGTCCTTGAAGAATTGTGATGGAATTTTGATAGGGATTGCATTGAATCTATAGACTGCTTTTGGCAAGATTGCCATTTTTATTATGTTGATCCTACCAATCCAAGAGCATGGGAGATCTTTCCATTTTCTGGTATCTTCTTTGATTTCTTTCTTCAAAGACACAAAGTTTTTGATATACAGGTCTTTCACTTCCTTGGTTAACATTATCCCCAGATATTTGATGCTGTTTTTGGCTATTGTAAAAGGTGATGTTTCTCTGATTTCTTTCTCAGTCACTTCATCATCTGTATATAATAGGGCCACTGATTTTTTTGAGTTTACCTTGTATCCTGCCACTTTGCTGAAGCTGTTTATCAGCTCTAGGAGTAACCTTGCGGAGTTTTTTGGGTCACATATGTAAACTATCATATCATCTGCAAATAATGAAAGCTTGACTTCTTCTTTTCCTATTTGTATCCCCTTTATCTCCTTTTGTTGTCTTATTGCTGTAGCTAGAACTTCAAGTACAATATTGAAGAGATATGGAGAGAGTGGACAGCCTTGTCTTGTTCCTGATTTTAGAGGAATTGCTTTGAGTTTCTCTCCATTTAGTTTGATGTTAGCTGTTGGTTTACTGTATATTGCTTTTATTATGTTCAGGTACGTTCCTGTTATCCCTGATCTCTCTAGGACCTTTATCATGAAGGGGTGCTGGATTTTGTCAAAGGCTTTTTCAGCATCTAGTGAGATAATCATGTGGTTTTTCTTTCGCAGATTGTTAATATGGTGGATTACATTGATAGATTTTCTAATGTTGAACCATCCCTGCATTCCTGGAATGAAGCCTACTTGATCATGGTGGATGATTTTTCTGATGTGTTCTTGAATCCGGTTTGCAAGTATTTTATTGAGTATTTTTGCATCAATGTTCATGAGGGAAATTGGTCTATAGTTCTCTTTCTTAGTTGTGTCTTTGTGTGGCTTGGGTATCAAGGTAATTGTAGCCTCGTAGAAAGAGTTTGGCAGTGAGCCTCCTGCTTCTATAGTGTGGAATACTTTGACGAGTATTGGAATGAGCTCTTCTTTGAATTTCTGGTAGAATTCTGCACTGAAGCCATCTGGGCCTGGGCTTTTTTTGTTTGGGAGACTTTTGATGACTGCTTCTATTTCATTAGGGGTTATAGGTCTGTTTAGATTATTTATCTGTTCTTGATTTAGTTTTGGCAAGTGATATCTATCCAGGAAATTGTCCATTTCCTTTAAATTTTCAAATTTTGTGGAGTACAGATTTTCAAAGTATGCCCTGATGATTCTCTTGATTTCCTCAGAGTCCGTTGTTATGTCCCCTTTCTCATCCCTGATTTTGTTAATTAGCATGTTCTCTCTCTGTCTTTTGGTTAGTTTGGACAGAGGTTTGTCTATTTTGTTGATTTTCTCAAAGAACCAACTCTTTGTTTCATTGATTCTTCTCAGTGTTTTCCTGGTTTATAAAAATAATTTAGGCCTTCAGTACTACTTACTTTAATCACAGAGTTGTCCAGAGACCCTCTCCTACCCCCAACTCCAGAACCAACTTTCAGGTCAATATCAAACTGAGGGTATTATGGCTTTCTTGACAGCTAGTTCAAGTATTTTCCTCCAAACTACTCCATGCAGCATCCCCAGGCTTAAACAGGAATCAGGCTCACTCCTCACTACAGGAGATTCAAGAGTTGTCAATAAAGAAACGAGCAACAAATGTTATGGTCCAATCCAATAAGAACATGCTTTCGACCAGAAAACATAAAAATGGACTCCTACTAGTACATTTAGCTAATGTTTATCTGCTTAACATTTTTATGAGGCGTAACACATTTTTATTTGTATTCATTACAAAGCCACTTTCCAAGTCAGTTCAATAAGAACAGTATCTCATCACTATTATTAATTGGGTTATAGGTCTTCAAGAATAATATTTAAAATTATTATTCACCCTTTTTGAGCCAGAAATCTTAATTAAATTGTCTTTTAAAACTCCGTTAATCCTCACGGGCCATTTTCTATGTCTGGCAGTGCTGCCCCATTTTATAGAGACAAAGCGTGACTGGGTGTCATGACCAGCCCCCTAGAGCCTCCCTGCTAGCAAAGATAAGCTAAATGTAGGCCTGAGTCAGTTCAAGTCTGTAGTCAACACTCTTGGCACTTTACTCCTCCTCAAGACCTCAAGCATTCCTTGGTCCAGACTCTCTGGAACCCTTTAAAGTAACTATCATGAGAAGTGAAACAACTCAGGGATACAGTCTCAGGCAAATGTGGGCTAGCAGCCATCATGACTTCTTGCTGAAGACCACATGAATGCTATATTCACCTGGACTGAGTCCATAATGCAGGGAAGTTTTGGCCAATTTCGAGCATTTTCATCTGTGGCCACTGCTTGAATAGTCAATCTCTCAGTGTTAAGCTGCCGAGTGGGAAGATGAGCTTAATCTAAACCAGCAGTACCATCCAAAACTTCCGGAGCTTTCTCTTAGCTGTGCCTCTGACCTCCCAGCCCATGGTGACTTGGGAACTGTCTATAGGTCACCTTAGGACTGTGTTTGCTCTACCTCAGCTCAGCTCTCTGGGATATGACCGCAAGCAAGAAACCAGAAGGGAGAGGAGAACAGGGAATGCCATTGGTATTTGCATCGCTGAATGGAAACGGCTGCACTCAAAGTCACTGGACATTCTACATCTGACATCTCTAATCTTTGACCCATATTTGTCGTCATAATCTCAACGCCTATGATAGAGATAGGGAATCTTCAGAATAAAGCACTGTGTTTGATTTAATTCCTTGAAGAAGCATCCATGTATACACACATATACATATACATTAAAGGTTAAGTATATTATTTCTTCATGTGATTTATAAGTCTACACAGAATATGAATGCTGCAGATGTGAGAAATTGGCTTAATTTTTCTTACCCTCCCACTATTTTCTCTAACTCTTCCGAACATTAAGACGGGAGAACAAAGACTATTAAAATACAAGATTTAAAAAAAAAAGAGGACACTTAAAAGTAGGTGAAAAGGAAAGGAAATAAATTAGCAGTGACTACTTTCAGAAACAAAATGGCTTAATAGAGGAAGAGAAAAATCCACAACCAAAAACTATGCAGAGAGAGTCTAAATTGGAGGTCTCCATTCGGGTCCCTCCCCTTGGAGATCAGGGGGCCCAGCAGGAGATGGGGAGGAAAGACTGTAGGGGTCAGAGGGGATGGAGGACACCAGGAGAACATGGCCTACAGAATTAACTAAGCAGGCTTTATAGAATTTACATAGACTGGAGTAGCAATCGCTGGACTTCAATAAGTCTGCACCAGGTCCTTGGTGTATAAGTTATATGTAATTGGTGTTTCTGTGAGTCTCCTAACAGTGGGAGTGGGTCTGTCTCTAACTCCTCTGCCTGCTCTTGGGACTCTTTTCGTCCCATTGGGTTGCTTTGTCCAGCCTCGATATGAGGGCTTTTGCCTGGCTGTCATCTTCTGGAGGCCTGTTCTTTTCTGAAAAGGAAATGAGAGAGGGGGTAGAGATGGGAGGATGGGAGGGCTAGGAGGAGCAGAAGGAGGGGAAACTGTGATTGGAATGTTTGATATGACAGAAGAATCTATTTCCAATTAAAAAAATTTTAAAGCATCTCAAAGTCTCAAAAGACCTCTTTGTGGCTATTCATAACTTGATGGCTGTGTATATGCAAAACTGGTTGTTTCAGATCTTTTAGCCACAGATAGCCCAAAAGTTAAATTCTGAAAAACAGAAGCCAGTTCTTTGAACTGGCAATAGTGATACAAATTAATGGTGCAGGTTACTCTAGGAATGCCTCCTAAGTATTGAAGAGTAACCAAGTAAGAAACAAGAACACAGGCAGCCATGCCCAGTGCTTGCTGGGGGCATCCTGGAGACCAGGCAAGGTTGACCAGATATTCGGAATGAACATCGCAGCAGCTCTGTGACGGGGTTTCCTTTCTGACCCCTGATTCACAAATGAAGAAACCCCAGCCTAGACAAGCTGAATAATTTGACTAAATGGAAGCACTGATGCTTAAAATTATTTGTCTTATGCTGAAGCCAGAGTATCTTAATAGCACTGAGATGTGCTAACAGCTTCCAGGGATGGGCAAGAACCAGGCAGAGCAGTAATTCAAAGAAGAGAGTTCTGGTAGCTGGAAATGTAAGAGAGACTAAAACCCTGTGAACTCCAGAGACAGACAAGGCAGCCACCCCGAACCTCGCAGAATAGACACCCCACCAAAGATTTCCTCAGACCCCTCCCCTTTGGGTCCTTTATTTCTGAATGTAAATTTTCCCGTGTTCTGCTTTACCATCTAAGTATTTCACGCCACACGAGGCAGACTGCATGGGTCTTTGGAGAAGTGAACAGGTAAACCATAACCTTCTCCTCGAATCCAGACCATAAAAGGCTGAGACTCCACAACCCACCTTGGTCTTCATGAACTTTGAGTGGCTTTTGTACACCTCAATCTGTTTGATCTCCTCCTCTCGGTCCTCTGTGTTGAGCACGCCATTGGCCTTCAACATCTGGATCTCATCCTCCAGGTCCCGGATGTTCCGCTCCAATGAAGCGATTTTTGTGTCCTGTTGATGGAAGGGAAAGAAAGTTGGAGGGTTTTGCTTTGTTGGGTTTTCCTTTGTTTCACAATTGCCAAGATAGAATTTAAGAAGGGAACCCTAGCTGTGTGGCGTTAGCTGTGATGCTGAACTAGCCTGGGGCTCAAAAGAGTCTGTGTCATCAGGTAACTGCTTGAGTGGCCAAATGAACATCATGTGACCATGATGCAGGAAGTAAGCCATCTGTGTTTCACCAATGTCGAGGAGCCAGATTACCATGCAATAGTGGCAACCATCATCTAAAGTATCTAAATAAAGGCATGCTTATCTCAGTGAAAAAAATTTTAATTTTGGAAATAGTTGACCAGGGTAGACGTTTTAGTCCATCTGTAAGCACAGGAGCAGTTTGTTTGCTGTTTGTTTCTGCGTGGATTCTGTGGCTGCTTATATAAGCATGCTTGGAATTTGACTTCAAGAGAGGAGGAAACTCAAACTCACAAATGGAGAAAAGGATTCTCATCTCAAATACAGACATAAGTGAAATTAAATAACTGAATCCTGACTTTGTATGACCAATACAATAAATATTGAAAATTTATAACAACTGGAAATAATATATCACAGCATCGTGATTTATTTGGCAAGCAGTCAGGTCCCTACGTGACAAAAAACATGACTACCTTGCAAGCCATTCCTAACCTATTGATTTACAGACCCGAAAAACTAGAAATATTGCATTCAGATGTGGGATTAATTGAGAAAAAACATCCAGTGACAGACTATACACAAGAGAATGCATAATAAGAAACCATGCTTGAGGAATTGCAGAATAAAGGGCTCTTACAGGGCAAGCCACCAGGCCCAAGCAAAAGCATTGCCCCAAGCCTCCAGAGTGAGAGACAAGATGTCTAAAGCTGCCTTAAGCCTTCCCACTGTCTCCATTTGCCTGCATTATATTACAAAGACGCAATTAATCAGTGTCAATTTTGTGATTAAACATTGATGAAAATGATCCAACAGTTCTTTAATTAGTTTAGAGTTTTTAGAACATAATAGATTAAATAGTAAATATAAGATATGGTTCCTGTGTTTATTAACTCAGTTTTAAAATGTTAGAACTAAAAGTGCCTGTCTTTTTCCTGTAGCGACATTAAGTAGATACAATACATGGTTCCTAGTTTATTAATCCAGTTTTAAAATGTTAGACCAAATGTGTCTGGCTTCTTCTGTAGCTACTGTAGATTTCCCTTTTCTATGTTTCATGCCCAGTATAACTCACATGTCACAGTAGCAATTATTATTATCTGCACTGTAACTGTATTGACACAGGAGGAAATAGAGGAAGGATAACAACTACTTATTGGACTCTGCTATGGGTCTGGAGCCAAATACTCAACACAACAGGTGCTTTCATTAATTCTCAGTTTCAGTACGGGAGGTATTATTTACTGAAATTATACAAAGCCCCGCCCTCTAATGTGATAGGATTTGGATATGGGATATAGAGATAGGATCAGGTGAGGCCATGAGGTAACAGTAGTATTCCCATCAGAAAAGACACTTGGGTTTGCTGTCTCTCTCTTGCTCTCTCCTACATATGAGCACAGAAAGAAGGGAGCCATCTGCAAATCAGGAAGAGGGTCTTCACCAGAGTCTACAAGGTGGGCATCCTGACCATACCCTGGCAGCCTCCAAAGTCCTACTGGTAACTCCTCCCAGTCTGGCTTGTTATGGAAGCTCTGGGAAACAGACACTGGGAGCCTTGCTTCCTGACTGCACTTCAGTTTTGAGCTATGAAATGAAGAACAGGGAGGAGGAAAAGCAGCAGCAGCAATAATCTAAACATTCCTAAAAATCCATGGCCATCTTCAAAGCGAATCACTTTAAAAATAACAAGCTTCCTAACTATAAAAAAAAGAGACATGCTCAAGGTTACTAAAAACTTGAAAAAGTTACATAGACAATTATGATTAGCATGCTTACCAATTCCCATAACAGCCTTAAGATTGTATTTATACCATAAAACATGGCTAAGACAGTAATCAAGATGGGCTGCAGAGACAGTTCATTAATAAAGGGGTTGTCCTGCCAGTGTGAATATCTGGGTGTGATCACCAGAATCTATATTCTTTTAAAGAGCGCTGAACATGACGGTGGGGCACCATGAGTCCCTCTGGGCTACTGACTGGCAGTGAGCTCAGGCCTTGGAGAGATCCTGTCTCAGAATGCAAGCTGAATGGCACCCAGAGAACAAGACCTGAGCCTGTTCTCTGGCCTCCATGTGCAAGCACACACATGTGCACACCCACCGCTCACACACCTGTGTTGTGGAATACTCATTAAAATGTGTTATACTTGTTGATGCCGTGCAATATTTTTTAATGATGCAAAGATGTGTTGCATTCTTTTGCGTTGCATTTGTTTAACTCTGTGAAGCTGTGTTACTGTGTCTATCCAAAACACCTGACTGGTCTCATAAAGAGCTGAATGGCCAAGAGCAAGGCAGGACAAAGGATAGGTGGGACAGGCAGGCGGAGAGAATAAGTAAGAGGAGAAATCTTGGAAAGGAAGACCAAGGAGCAAGAAAAAGAGGAGGACATGAGGGGTCAGCCACACGGCTACACAGCAAGCCATGGGGGAGGAAGTAAACAAAGAGACACAGAAAAAGAGAAAGGTGAAAGCCTAGAGGCAAAAGATAGATGGGATGATTGAAGAAAAGTAGAAATAAGTCAACTTAAAGGCCAGGCGGTCATAAGAAAGAATAAACCTCCATGTGTGTATTTATTTGGGAGCTGGGTGGTAGCCCACCCCCCCCCATGAGTAGAAAGCTCAAAGAGTAAAAAGTAAAACAAACAACTACACATTTGTATCACACACACACACGAAAAGTACTGATCGATTATATATTTTTCTCTGCTGAAATACAAATTGGCACTGATGAGATTTAGAAAACTCTAAACACAAAGAATGAGCACTTACAACAAGCTAAATTCAGTTTTTATAAGAATGTAGCTGTGTGAAGGGAAAAGAGATCAGCTTCCTTCTCCTCCTATATAAAAAACTCCCGAGTCTGAGATGATCAGAGCTATGTGACTGAGTGTGTGTATTTATTACAGCAGCAAAACTTGCAGTTCTCATATCTTCGATACAACTTTTCCTAAATACCTCCTGGTAAGATTTCAGGTCTTAACCATGTGGGCAAAAGGAAAACCACCTGCTTCCCATGAGCCTTCCGTTTTGTCCTGGCCAGCTCTTGAGGCTCTAGTTGGCAACAACTAGCAACTCCTAAGCAGGTTAGAAGGCACCTGTCCACCCAACACTGAAGAATCACACACGATGGAGGGGAATCACATTGAATCCAGACAGGAACTTCATTCCCAGAGCAAGGCTTCTAAATCCACATGCATCTGAGTTTAATGTTCAGTAAACAGGGGAACAGAATTCTTTTTACTTCAATATTTTCCTTAAATTAACAAAATTTTTCCTCTTTTCATCATAAACATGTTTTTTTTCTTTAGCACAGGCATCCCAGAATGCAAAACAGAAAAGAAGAATAAAAAGGAAGTGAACACTCTGGAAGGATCTACTTATTCTGCCCTTAATTATACTCTGGTTCCTATATTAGAAATCAACCTCAAGGGCAACAAAACGCACTCCAAAAACTCATAAGCACATAAAAACTCAAGACAAACTTGAATAGGTGAATGTATTAGGGTCTACAGCAGAAGGAAGGTACAGAGGTAGCGTCTGCGTTTGCCTAGGTATACGATATTCAAAATCAAGCCAGAGAGAGTGAGGAAACTACGTTTGAAAACCAGACAATAGCCGCCATGTTCCTCACCTCTGACACCCCTCAGTTCCAGGAATCCAGGGAGAAGGGGTTTTATCTTTTGTTTTCAAAAGGCCTGTAAGGATGTGACGTACATGTGTGACACCAGAGGCCTGGAAGTATACGTCACTCCGGTATAGCTGAAAGCAGTGTAGTGTGACATTCTCTTTAAAGTAGATGCTAAAAGAGTATTGCAGTAGCTTTACGCCATGGTCTGTAATGAAGATTTAAAAAAAGAAAAAGAAAAACTTCAATGACAACAGGTTGTAATAGCCCCAGAGCACTGGAAGGTAGAGATGCATTTACTCTCTAGGAATCTGAACACTGTTGCATTTACTCTCCATGACTCACATTTTACACAATCTGCTGTAGTTTTCAAACACACACACACAGGTTGTTTCTCAAGTAAACACCCTCTAGAAACACAAAGTGTAGGGATTGCCTTTGAGTCGGAGACAAAGGAAGAAAGACTAGCATGGAATAACTCATCCGGACCAAGGCCTGTTGAGGCTGAGACGCCCCGTTGGAGGTGCTCAATGCACATCGAGTGTCCTCACCTCTGAGGAACCCTGCAGCAAAGTACTTTGCCTGGGGGTCACCCAGGTGTTCAACTTTAGCTCTCTGTTCTTTTTCTAAACAGACTGGGGCTAGAGAGGCAGTTCCGTTGGTAATGTACTTCCCACATAAGCATGGTGACCTGAGTTTAGGTCCCCTCGCACCAGCGTTAAAAAGACAGGCGTGGTGGCATATACCAGTGCTGGTGAGGCAGGCAGGAGGCTCTCTGAACCCTCCTAGGTAGCAAGCTGCGCTGGTGAGCTCCAGGTTCAGAGAGAGACGTGACTCAAGAACTAAGGAGGGGAAGAATCAAGAAAAACACCGGATGTTGACCTCTGACCTCCACATGGGTACACGGGAGCACAAACGCGCGCACACACACACACACACGCACACGCACGCACACACGCCCCCCCCACACACACAAGATTATGTGACTCAGTAAAACATAAACTTGGGTACATGGGAGCACCTAATGCACACACATAACACACACACATATACACACATACCACATACACACACACACACACACACACACACAAACGCACACACATACCATATACACACATGCGATTATGTGAACCAGTAAAACACAAACCAGTGATTTGGATTTGTTAAGGGAAAATATCCAATTATCCAA